AAGTTCTAGAGACACATCGGTAGATCTGATCTCTAATGGAGAACAGCATGATCTACTTATCTATTCCAGAACTTGGGTCAGGCATAGTCATTTACTGTTCGTAACACACTTTGATCCCCTCACTTGAAAACCGTCACACACTGGAGGCGCCATTATCGTTGGGCCAAGGATGGGAACAGAAACAGACGCCTTCCAACAGGGATACGCCCATCTACTAAATCCTCTGCGGCAGTTGGGTGGGGCTGAGGAAAAGAATGCCCTAGAAGCAGTTTCAGGGCCAAGAGCTAAAAAAAGTACAGCAGGGAGGCCTTTCAGATCTGGTGTCAAGAGCAAGCAAAGGGCCTACAGGGGACTGAATGTCACCCCTGAGGGAAAAGCCTCGAATTTTTAAAAAATATCTATTACATTTAACCAGAAATGTTTGAAAAGCAAATACTGCTAGAAATTTTGCTTCCTAGGTAAATCTTCAACTAAAGTTTATCTTTACCTACATTCATTTGTCTTCTATTGAACACAATATTCCATTTTTAACCTAAATAGAACCAAGTTAGCTCTTGAGGGGAAATGATTGAATTCATCAAGTAAAAGCTTTTAATGGAATCAAATGCACTGAGGGTAAAAGAAGGGGCTCTGGAGTCCGAGGCGGGGCCGGGTAGGGGGGCAGTTTTAATCCTCGCGGCACAGCTCACCAGCCACACGTGCTCGGCAAATATTTTCGTGTCTCAGAAATCTCAATTCCTTTCGCCTCAAGCCAGTCGTCAGGACTGTTGTGGAAGCTGAATTATAACATAGGTCATATTTAGCCCAGTACCCAGCTTCTAAATGGCAATGGGGTCGATAAAGGTAACAATTGAAAAAAAAATCTTTAATAATAATTATTTACTAATAATACTACTGGCAATAATATACCAGCCTTATTTTACATTCTAACACACTACTGCTATTGTAATTACAGTAATAATTATAATAATAGTAATACTATTACTAATAAAAGATAGTGAGGAATGGGAGAACCACTTTGGAAAACTGGCTAAATATCTGCATATGGCTCAGGAATCCCGGGTCCCAAGTAGGTGTGTGTATAAATAGATAGAAGTTATATTTTTATGTGCCCACTTTATCCATGGCCACAGCAAGCCAGCACTGGCGTCAGCCCCACAGCCCGGGACACCAAGGTCATCAGGACCCCCGGTGCCAGGGCCCGCCATGCACCCACACAGTCTGACCTCCTGCTCTTTCCTGCGAGTTCCATCCACTCTGAATCTCATGTGCAGTCTAGCACCTCATTTTTCTTCTGTAAACAATGAGCACATGCTTCTCCTTTGTGGGACCCCTGCCCTTTCTCATCTTTCCCCATCTGGACTAAGATTCCAGGCCTTTCTGAAATCCCACTTCCTTCTACTGCTTTCTGGGCCCAGCCACCTCCACAGAGAGATAGGAGCCCGCCAACAGCTGCCAGTTAGCCTAGTGTCCTGCTGGAGACCAGCATAGGGACTAACTGAGAAGTTTTGTTTCACTCCGTTTGCCTGGAGGACGGAGACAGACATTGCATCGGCAGCAGTGCGTGGCCTGAGGTCCCATGGGATGCACAAGTGACTGCGCAAAGCTGTCCGGGGGAAGCCTACCCCAGGGGTTCAAGGGCCCTAAGTCACAGGAGAAGGAGGTAAGACAGAGCTGCAGACATACCCTGCTAATCACCAATTTGGATGCTTTACCCCATTCCTCTGAGCCCATATTTCCTCCTAAAATATATGGGCATGGTGCTAATCTCCAGGGTGATTGGGAGAATAAGCAGATGTAGTAACACCCACAAAGCACCTGCCCTACAACGCCTGGCCCATAAAGATGCTCCGTGAAGGTACCGAGCTGTGCCGGCTCCCTCTAGGCGCATTTGGGTTGACAAGAAAAGGACCGGCGGGATCAGGCAAACATCTGGGAACTTCAAAATAGAGAAGATACAGAAGAATTCTTCCAGACATGTGCGGTGGCCATCTGTGCTGGGGAAAGATGGTGGCTTGGAGGTCAGAGCCCCAGCTCTGGACTGAGTCTACAGGAGTTCAGATCTGGCCATCAGCTTTCATTAGCTTTGCGCCCTTGTCCTGGTGACCCACCCACTCTGTGTCTCCGTACCCTGGTTTATAAAACAGGGCCGTGGTTTCCTCCTCCTACGGTTGTTGATGACTAAGTGAGTAACCGGTTTATCAGCGAACCAGGCTGGGCAGGTGCCAAGGAAATGGCCCTCTCTCCATATCCTCTCAAGTCCACACTGCCGCAGCGTCCCCACCCACGCCCCCACTCCCCTGGACTAAATCCCCTAAACCACATCCTGGAGACTAACACCTCTCCAGTCACTTTCATGTGTTAATAAAGACATTTTCAGAAATGAAAAAGCCCAGAATTCTTCTAAGTCGGAACTTCAGATCCTCTTTTGGCTGGAAGCGTCTCCATCCACCAGCGCTGGGGGCTGGTTGGGGCTTACCAACCCACAGGGGAAGGGAGGGGAGGTGGGCTTCCCCACCGTTTATCCCCACCCCACCCCGTTCTTCTGCTACTTCTTACAACACCCAACTTGTGGGGCAGGGGGGGTGGGAAGGAGAGGGGAGGAGGGAGAAGGAGGGAAGGACTTGGCCTCACTGGTGCAGTTGGAATCCAGCGTGAGACGTGCCAAGTGCTGGCTTTTTCTCACAGAATGTTCTCCTGGGCTCTTCCGAGACACCCTCCCTGAGCAGACCTTTTGAGCAGCGTCTCAAAGCACTCGAGCCTGGTTCCCTGCACGTCTGGTGGCAGCTGACAGCAGGCAGCCTCCCCTCACGGCCTCTGCAGCCCCTTCTCCCTGCTCTGCCTCAGGGACCCCTCCGGCCAGCATCCGTGTGTTAGATAACGTCCCAGCTTTCCTAACCTTGGCCCTGGGGGTGTTGCGTGGGCATTCTTTGCTCCGGGCCTGGTAGAATATTGAGAATTCTTGACCATAACATAATGTCTCCTAGGGAACAGAACTGCCCCAATTGAAAACCACTGGATTAGAGTATCCCAGGCAAGAGTTAATCAAAAGTTCCAGTGCTTTCTGAATTCCAGGAGACACTCTAAGCTCCCTGAACACTTGGCTTAAAAAGGCGCTAATCCCTTCCCTCCTCTCAACACTCACTAACCGTTTCCGCTCTTATCCCCTGCTTTCTGTTTCTTAGGCTAGAGAGGGTGGTGAGCCAAGAGGGGCAAAACATGGTTTGGGTCACCCCCAGCAACCCTGCACAAATGGCTTTTTTCTTTTGGGGGGCGGTGGTGAGGAGCATTTGTCACTGTTTGTACTCAGCCGTTACTGCAGTTGGGGACACATTCCATTGGAGCACAGCACAGGGACAGGACGAGGGCTCTGTTGATATTAGGTTCAGGGATACCGTAGCTGACTTAAAACAAATGTACATTGAGAAAAATGTACTTACAAATATTTTGAGCATATACAGCTTACTTAATAGAACGAGATTTTGAGGCTGTGCCTGAACTTTTCTGCTGGAGAAAAGTTCCATGTCCTCCTGCCAGGCCTCTTGTTTCATTGCATAGTTACACATAACAGAAAGTGATCCCAGCACACACACACACCTCCCCCCAGGTCCTTTTTCCCCATGATGAAAGGGAATGGGGGAGGAAGCAAGCCTGGTGGGCAGGAAGAAAGGAAGACAAGGGAATAAGAATAGGAATAAGGGAATAAGAAAGTAGTTCAATAATATTTATTTTCAGTGGCATAAAAGACACTCAATATCAAACCTTTGGAACAAGAAGGAAGTTGAACCTATTTACAATGAACTCCAGAGAAGAGATGGGGGAAGGAATGTCATGAAATCTTCAGCAAATGTGCTCTTTTGGTAGCTAATTAACCCGTGTACTTGCAGCATAGATGACATAACAGACCAACTTCACAGATTACTGTTAACGTAAGTTACTAACTAGCTACGTACCATAACTAAACCCGTAGTCTGGAAACACACATGTCAAGGCAGAAGAACATTCCAATTGCTATTGTTCTCTCCAAGGGCATTAGCTCCTTTCCCCTTTCCCACTAGCACATTATACAAAGAGACAAGTTCCTTCAACACTCAAAATACTCTTTTATCAGCTACCTTAAAAATCCCCGCATGTTTGAAGTCCCTGGCCATCAGACACCCAGAGCCTTGTTGAGGCTCTCAGTACTCCCTGCCCAGCAGCGGCCGACCCCTAGCCAAGTGACCACGTGCGTGTTCTGCCGAAAGCGAAAGTGGATTTTTAATAAAATCAAACCTCCCCTCCAGGTGCTGCACTTCCCATGGGTCTACCATGCCCTCGCCACCCTTCCAAGATTTCCAAAAATTCTGAACACAAAAAGCTATTTCATAAGGAGGTGGCACACTCGTTTGGCGGCAAAACCTGACACTTATAGGCTCCTCGGAGTCTTTATCCACTCTGTGTGTGTTCTGTGTTTTGCAGCAGAAACATGAAAGTGTTGATTTATAGGGGGCTCTCCCGATCTCCATCGATGGAGTTCCTTCCATTACATATACTACGTGCAACAAGTTAGCTTTCTTAAATCCCAAAAAGTCGAGGAGTTGGGAGAAAACACTGGGACCGCAGTTTAAGCAAAAGGAGCTAGGGACCGACAGCAGCCTGCCCACGTGCCCAAGTTCTGCTGGAGCCAGGAAAGTTTTGTGGATCTCGTGTACCAGTTTCTTTAGTCTTTCAGGGAAGTGAGAATGTCTGGAACATTCTGTATCCCAGTGAAAGAAGCCAAAGCTCTAAACTCCTCCAGATTCTCCTTACAGGAATTTTCGTTGCGGAAGACTGCGATCCTCCCCATGACCTTAGATAATTTGGCAAGTAATGAATACATATTTTTCCTCTAAGGTAACTCCTTTTCATTAAAAGCATTATGGTTTATGGCGGGGTTGGGGGGTGGGGAGAATAAAAGAAAGGATTGGAAAAGAAGGGCTTATTAGTGTGAGGGCTGCACATGTCAAGTACCAGCTGCTTCCTGACCCAGCAATATTAACAATTTATTGTATTTAGAAAGTGATTCTTTGGATGCAGAGTTTACAGAAAAGTCAGGTGGGACTTAACCTGGGCTCTCCACTTAAGGAGAGCAAAACTTGCCAAAGAAAATGATGTTTCGCGTTTTGTTGTGCCTGATGATGTAAATAAATGGGTGGTCGGCATTGAACTCATCCTTGTGTTGCAGGATTCGCGATCCAGGCACCTCTATGGAATCCCCGCCATCTTCCGCGATCTCTAAGCACACTCTGTGAATAACATTGGAGAGGGCCACTCCCTTGGTCTCTGACATTCCAGAGAAATCAGATGTATTCTCATTAAAGACATTTTTCAGCCCTAGGTTTTCAAGACTAGCTTTGGGATCAACAAGCTTTTCCACCTTAAATTTTGGAATGGAGAGTTTGACTTTGGTGTTGGCCATGGTGCTGGGATTGGTCCACTGCAAGAGCGTCTCTGAGTTGAGCTGTTGTTCAACCTGAAGGACCCAAAGGAGAGGAAATTATTTTTTTTTATTCCCAGCTGTAAGTGATCCTGTTTGATTGAAAACGAAAAGTGCTGTCGTGAGCCCAGCTTGGAAGCAGTGCAGATACTCCACCGAACATGGGGTCAATCAGTCCAGCAGTTTGGGAGTGTGACTAGTTTCCCTTCCAGAGAAGCACCCAGCCACCCAGCCACCCACCCTTCCACAATGGTCCCTTTGCACTGAAATGTCTGAGGGCAGTTCCTGGAAGCTGTAGAGAAGAAACAAATGCATGATAATAATGTGGCATAAATAAGAGTGAAATAAATATAAAAGAAGGGTTTTTACACATACTCTTTCTCGAATGCTTACTTTAACTTTTCTACCAGGAAATCTAGAATATTCATGTACTTGGCGTAGCATCAAAATTTGTAATGCAAATTAAACCTAAAGTTACTCTTTCTAAAATGAGAACTTGAATTGTCTGCAGTCATTCTTGAAGACCTGTGGTGATGAATGTATCCATTTCAGTTGGTGGTTTTAGAAATGAGAGAGAGGCAATGACGCATAAAATGGTTTAGTCATAAAATTCATCACTGAGCAAATCTTAGATGACTCCTTGCCCTGCTCACACCCCACTGGCTAGAGGAGAAAGTCACGCACAAGAGAGAATGACAGTACTTGACTGATATTATCATGCCCCCACCACCACCACTGCACTATAGTTACTCACCTGAAACCCCATTAAGAATCAGTGGCACAGCAAGGTCACAGACTGGACACAAGTTTGTTTGTTTTGTCTTTAGTGAGGGAGGGTCCCCTTGGATTCTCTTGTTAATCTACAATAATTATGTTTTCAATGACTACTGTTTCACTTATGACAAATTATTTTGATCAAAAGATTACCATAAGTAACTAGAATTTTTGAGCCAAAAATTCTTGCCCCCTTGATTTGTGGGAATGAAGAGAGGGGATAAAATTCATCCATAACTCAAAAAAGACTACTCAGAGGAAAAAAAGCTTTTTTCTCTTCCATTATGTATGTGTTATGGGTCAAATCATATCCCCCCCCCAAAATAAACGTGTACATTGAATTCCTAACTCACAGTGCCTTAAAATGCAACCTTACGTGGGAACAGGATCCTTGTAGGTGTCATTCAGATGAGGTCTTAGGGTGGGCCCTAACCTAATAAGACCAGTATCTTTATAAAAAGGAAAATTTTAGACACAGATGCACACACACAGAGAGAGAAAGCCATATGAACACAGAGGCAAAAATTGAAGTGATGCATCTCCAAGCTAAAAAAGGCCAAAGATCACCAGCCCATCTCCAGAAGCTGGGAGAGAGGCATAGAACAGAGTCTGCCTCTTAGCCCCCAGCAGGAATCAAGACCTTGAACTCAGATTTCTAGCCTCTGGAACTGTTAAGAGAATACATCCCTGCTGTTTAAGCCACTGGGTTCGTGGTACTTTGTTACGGCAGCCATAGGAGACCAACACTACATGCATTCTTGCATTTCCCTGAGACCCAAGAGATCAGTTTCATCCATTCTGTACTGTCATCAGAAAAAGGCTGGTATGAGGGTATTTCCCATAAGAGAAAGTGCAATGACCGCAGGAGAAAAGAGACCAAGGCGTGAATTGAGTGAGAAAGAAAAAGAGAGCAGTGAGTAAAAGAGCAATGAAGGCAGTGATGGAGAAAGTGTAACCATCATTAAAGCCGCAGGAGGGATGGAAACTGACTTAGACCTAGATCATCCCCAGGAAAGTCAGGGAGTAACTGACGCATGGCTGGAAATGAAGCAGGTGACCTCTGGGTGCCTCAAAGAGGCTGTCCTTCTCCACAGCCAAGGGCCAAGGCCCAGTTGGAAGGGAGCTAGGGAAGCTGGGAAGGGAGGACCAAGGGGGGAAGAGGTGGCTGGGGAGGGGTTGCTGGATGGAGCTGCCAGAACAGAGGGGAAGTGAAAGCACCATTCACCAGCAGATGAACCAAAGTTTAAACCTCGGGCCTCTAATAACCTACAGAAAGGATAAAGCACAACAAAATCTCATATAGGCGAGTGCATTAGAAGAGCTTTTCAAGGGGCACCCAGGTGGCTCAGTGGATTAAAGCCTCTGCCTTTGGCTTGGGCCCTGATCCCAGGGTCCTGGGATCAAGCCCCGAGTTGGACTCTCTGCTCAGCAGGGAGCCTGTTTCCCTTCCTCTCTCTGCTTGCTTCTCTGCCTACTTGTGATCTCTGTCTGTCAAATAAATAAGTAAAAATCTTTTAAAAAAATTTTTTTAAAAAGAAGAGCTTTTCAAAACCCACAGAATGTACCACATGAAGAGCGAGCCCTAAAGCAAGCCGCAGACCCTAGGACAAATGTGCTAATAACGGGCTCGTGGGTGGTAACAAAGGTACCACACTAATGGGAGATGCTAACAATATGTGCTCAAGGCTAGATCGAGAACACAGATTCCAACTTCCTGGGCTCAGATTCTAATTCAAGACACCACTGATGATCTATGTGACCACAGACCAGTCACCGCCCCCACTGTGCCTCAGTTTCCCCGGCCAACAAGAGCACCGTGATCATTTCCAATGCACAGATGGGCCTGTTGGGAGAAACCAGTGAGAAGGGGCACGTGGGACCTCACAGGCCCTGGGTCCTCACAATTGCCAGGTAAATGTTGGCTGTTTCCAAACAAAGGCCGGGAAAGGACCCTGAGACCCTTGTTAGGCCACACAGAGTGCTGGCCACATGTGTCCAACGCACAGCAGGGGGCGCTGTCGTGTTGAACCCCCACCTCCCTCCTCCTCCTCACCTTCTCTAGGCCTGTGGACTCATCCTCCACGTCCTTGGGGAGCAGAATGAGCATGCTGAGGTGTTTGTTTTGAAAGGGAAGCTCTATGACCTTGCAGTTGATACCATCAACGTTGCCCATACAGAACGTAGCCTCCATGCTCATCATCGGCACAGGTTTGGTGTCCGTCTGGAAGAGGAGAAATTTGGACCGGTTGCTTTTTGAGTTACACAAGCATAAATACACACACACACACACACACACACACACACACACACAGACGTTTTTTCTTGTTATAGTTTCAGACCGTTATGGCTCAATTTCCCTCTGGACCCAAACCATCACAGACTAGCCCCTGAAGAGTTAATGACTTCCCTTGAAAGGTTATTCTCGTGCCTCATAATTCCAATCTATTTCAGGAACTAGACAGAATACTGTACTTGCTTATATAAAACAGGAAAAATAAGACAGTAGGACTGAAAACAGGGAAAGTTTAACTCAGTCTTTATAGATGCTCATAAGTACAAGCTCTTTGAACCATTCCTGGTGGATCTGACTGTATAGAAAGTTCTAGTGCAAACCACATATCTCCTTATGCAGCTCTTCCTGCTAAAACCTGTACTAGAGAACACTCAGCATAGAGCAGGACAAACATCCCATTTGTTTCGTCCTCTGTTCTCCTTTAGGTTTTTCAACCTCTTCCTGTATGGCCAACCCACACTCATCTGAGCAATGAAGAGTCTAGGGTAGAGTTAAGAACCTTGGGTTTTAGTCCCATATGTGACACAAATAGATGCTGAGATCTTGCACAAGTCACTTAACTCCTCTGGTCCTCAGTTTCCTGTCTGTGGAATGAGGGAATCAGACATTTCTGCAAAGTCATCACCTCTGGGGAGGAAGGGAGAAAGACACAGGAGAGGGTGGGCCTGTGTGGGACAGTGCATCTGTTGCTTTATTTTTTTCTTTTAAAATATCTGAATTAAGGCAAAATATAAAGATTTACAAAGCTGATTGCTGGGTATATCGGTGCTTGCTTTATTATTTTCTATAATTTTCTGTATGCTAGAAATATTTAGTAATTTTTTAAATGGGAGTATTAAGGAACAGAACCATCTCAAAGTCGCTTCTAGCTCCAATGCATTCCACACTACTCAAAAAATGGCCTCAGTGCCCAGGCTTTTTTCTTCAAGTCCTTCCTTTTCTCTGTCTCCATTAACATTTGACTTTGTGCCTCTATTACAAAGACACTGATTTTCTGAAGAAAAATTAGTTCATACTCAAGAGTAAGAGACTGATAGAAATTTAGTATGATTTCTTATTTCAATCTACACCTCCCATGGGATATTTGCCTATTAACTGAATCTCTTTTAGGGGAGATTATAAACTTCCTATCAGGAATAATACTGCAGTAAAACTTTTATCTGGGATCTTCAAACAGTAAACTGAATTTCCCCCGACACCTCTCTCAAGCAGAGCTAGACCATATTTTACTTTTTATAACACCTCTATTTCAGTACTTGTCACATGGTTAGAATATTTATTTATGTGACTGTCTTTCCCCCCACACACACACCAGATGGACCACAGTCAAAGCAGAAACCCTGTCTTACTATCTTGGTATATCCCAGCACAACGTAGATGCTCACTAAATATTTGGTTGACAGGTCACTAAAGACTTCGATCCTGCATACAACCAGAAACATAGCTGTGATAGAAAAACATACTACTTTTGAAATAAGCTGCTGGTTCTTCCATTTACTTCTCTTAAAGAAGATACAGATTTGTCTAATAATCTCCATCGAGTTAGACTGCCAGTCATGTGAATTTGCATATAGTTGTGACGACCAAAAACCATCGATTTCACTTATCAGCACCGAACATGGATACAATGACCCCATTTCTGAAACATAAATTGAGAGACATATCTTCTGAACACAGGACTAAATAGAGACCATTCCAGGAAATGTGTGTGTGTGTGTGTGTGTGTGTGTGTGTGTGTGTGTGTGTTCACCTTGTCTGAATAGGCGCTATACCAAACAATGTAACTTCACCAACTTAGTCTACCCTGAAAGGAAACACTATAGAACCAGGGGGATAAGTTCAGTAACATCACTGGAAAAGTTCAGTGGCTACAAAAGCAAAGCAAAGGAAACAAAAGAAAAGTGTGCATTCAAAAGGAGGACGTATCCCCACGTAGCCTTGAGCAGTGTTTTTACTGCTTGCTCAGAGGAAATACAGCAAGATCAATAATATTTCAAATCCTTATTGAGTCTCCGGGATCTGCCATGACCCAGCTTTATGACTGAAATCAAGGTGTTGGCAGGACCCTGCTCTCCCTGCAGGCTGTAGGGGAGAATCTGTCCCATGCTTTTCTCTTGGCTTCTGATGTTTCCCGTGATCCTTCTGGTGTTCCTAGAAGCATCACCTCGCTCTCCTCAGCTTTATGACTGAATCACGGTAAAGGAGCAGCACACACCCCTCCTCCTTTCTGCCCATTCACACTTTGTGAGATGCAAACACTACACATCTGCGTGCTCGGCTCCAAAGCCCACAGTGCCTTCACTGACCATTACCAGGCGTGGGTTGGGTCCGGGCTGGTCCTGCGGCCACTAGGAAACCCACCATCAGCAGACTGTCTTGGGTTTTGCTTACATATAACTTGGGGCCCGTCTGCCAGCCCTTCCCAGGGAGGAGAACCAACTACCAGCAAAACCATCTAACTATTCTGGAGAAGCGTGAGAGGCTCTGGATTACGGGTCTCTGTCTCCTACCTTCCTCCTAGCCAGAGGTCTCAGGAAAAGCACACTGTGTCCTGGGCCTCAGTTGTCCTCACTGGAGTGAATCCCTATGGTCCCGTCTGTTGCTATAATTTTTCAGATCTATAGTTGGGATCCTCCGACGTGCTGCCCCCCTCCCCCATACCTTGTTGATTCTGAACGGGCATTCTTTGGTTTCAGATTCAGGAAATTTCTTCATCCACTTCCCAACGAAGTAGGCAGCATTAACCACGAGCATTTTGGTCTGGTCACTGACACTGTTGTCAGCCAAGATGTTCTCAAAGCGGCCTGCAAACAATTATAGGAAAGCCCAGATTGCACCTGTCATTCTTCCAAACTACATCTGATAGCCACACGTGCGATATCCCCATTTTACAGATGAGGATGCTGAGACATGGTGCTTAAGTCACTGGCCCAGGATGACACATGAGCAAGGTCAGATTCAGGATTCAGAGCTGAGTCTTTCAGACTCCACAGCCTGCACTCCGGAATGAAAAGCCACGAGTGTTATTTTAACCTTTGCACATGCGTTACCTCACAGGGATCCTGGAAGGCCAAGATCATTACCCCCGTTTTATATTTCAGGAAACTGGGGCTCGGGGAGGCTGAGCAGCTCTGGAGGCTCACCAGGCTGGAAAGTGCATCTGCGCAGGACCGGGCTGCACTCTTTATCCCATAGCCCGGCTCACCCGCCCCAGAGGGCAGTGGGGTCATTATGGAAGGATTCAATCCCCAGCAGCCACAAGAGCTCCCTGGGGATAATGCCCTCATAGAACGAAGTCCTCGTGTGAAGAGCACTGACATTTTTCCCAAGGGATTTTCATTTACCAAATCCCCGGGATCTTCCCACTGCTGCTCAGGGCCCACTTTGCAAACCTGTGACATGCACGTGCAGGGCCCTGTCCTGGTTTCCTCTGTCACCACCTTAAAGTCCTTAATACGTTTTTTAATAAAGGGCCGTGCATTTGCATTTTGCACTGAGCTCACGTAACCAGTCTTGCTAATGTTACATGATGGGTTGACTGCTAATCACGTTAAGGAAGGAGCTGGAAGACCAGAGAAGGAGGGGAGCTCATGGGTGGTCGTTCCAACTTAAATCTCAAGCTTCTGACTCTAAATTCAGAGGACTTTTCACTTCTCCAGTAAAATCTTAAGTTTATGAAGACGTTTTTTAAAGGCCCTTATAGAGAAAATACAATCATCAGACAATTCTGGAAGCAAAACTGTTACACAGCAGTTTAAACAGCAACTGCTTTTGCTTATAGATCTTTAAACTGTGCTTAACCTGGTGTTACATATGCCAGTTTTTTTCTTTACATATGAAGGCAAAGAAACATCATTTCAATGACAGATATATACATATGAATACATTCGTGTGTGCGCACACCTAACTATGACTACCATAGATTATCTTGGTGATCATAGATTGTTTGTTATTCTATACATCAAACTTGATCTTCACAGCCACCATGTAAAAATTAATCAGGTAACTTAGGCCCCATTTTGCAGGTCAGTAAACTGAGGTTTCGTTTCCAGATTGAGAAAGCGTCCAGTGACTTCCGCGAAGCCACTATCTGTTAGAAGCACGCTGGGGAGCCCAGCCAGGTGGGTGGGAATGGAAGCACCAGGAATTCCTGCCAAGCGTAAGATGATGTAGGACATGCCCGGGAATCCATCCACATGTTTGATGGGCTGGAAAGACAAGAATTAAGCCCGTCTACTGAAAACATCCGAGGAAGCCTCCAGATATTCAAGTTGATGCTTAGCAGAAAATTCATGAGAAGATAGGGTCCAGGTAAGGAAATGATACTTGCCATCTGTGAGATCCTTGATTGACTCGTTGATCTGACCTTTTGTTTCTTCCAATTTTTCTTTGAAGTCAACAGTTTCCATTTCCTTTGCATAGGGTCTCTTCGTAGAGCTCATGAACTCCTGAAAAACATCCAGTTTATAAAATCACAAAGTACCTAAAGTCCACAGTCAAACCATTGCCTCCTGCCATGATTCTAACTAACGGATTGGTAAGTGTCCAGGTTGGTGAGTACCCTTTCAAAATGTGAAACACTGTACAAATGGAAACTTCGCGTGGAAATCAATGAATGTTCTTCGCATGAAGTGTGTCATTTCTTTAATTATAAGGCAATATCAATTATTAAAATCTTCCATCGGGGCACCTGGGTGGCTCAGTGAGTTAAAGGCTCTGCCTTCGGCTCAGGTCATGATCCCAGGGTCCTGGGATCGAGCCCTGCATGGGGCTCTCCGCTCAGTGGGGAGCCTGCTTCCTCCTCTCTCTCTGCCTGCCTCTCTGCCTACTTGTGATCTCTGTCTGTCAAATAAATAAATAAAATCTTTAAAAAAAAAAAAAACAAAGCTTCCATCATTGTAGTAGCAGCTTTGAGGTAAAAAAGGAACACTATACTAAATGTACGCAACAATTATAATATGAATTCCAAATTAGAAACATTAATATGTGCTATATATATACACATATATAGCACATATTAATGTTTATATATGTATATCTATATCTATATCTATATCTATGTGTGTGTGTGTATGTGTGTATCTCACACCTGAGATATTTTTTCTTCTATTCTAAGAGATATATATATTTTAGAATAGAAGAAATGGGGGCACCTGGATGGATGCCTTCAGCTCAGGTCATGATCCCAGGGTCCTGGAATCAAGCACAGCACCGGGCTCCCTGCTAAGTGAGGAGCCTGCTTCTCTGTGTCCCTCTACCTACTGCTTTGCCTACTTGTGCTCTCTGTCTCTCTAAATGAATAAATAAAAACTTCTTAAAAATTTAAAAAACAATATAAAATACTCCAAAAGGAATCTAACCTCAATTTATATTTAAAAAAAAAAAAAGAATAGAAGAAATGTACAGAAAAGAGAACTCTGTGAACAGAAAACTCCTATCCTCACTGAAATCAATACAGACTCTAGAGAAAACACAGCAGGGAGTCCACAGCATGTCTGCTAAAAATGCAAAACCCCAAGTCCCATCCCTATTGATCTTGATTCCAGTGATCTGAGGCCAGGAATGTGCACTTTTAACAAACACTCAGGTCATTCTGATTGGGGGGGTGGGGGACCTCCTGCCACATTTGTCGATTCTATTACCAGTAAATTTGTAAATGATACACATCTAGCAGGAGGAATGGAAAGCAGTCTTTAAAAAAAAAAAAAAAAAGTCTTTCAGGGCGCCTGAGTGACTGGATCCCTTAAACACCTTACTCTTCTTTTCTGCTCAGGTCATGATCTCAGGTGCATTAGCTCAAGCCCCAGGTAGGACTCCACACTCAGCACAGCATCTGCTTGTCCCTTTCTCTCTGCTTCTCCTCCTTCTCTCTCTCTCTCTTTTTCTAAAAATAAATATATAAATAAATTTTTAAATAAATAAATAGGCTTTAAAATTCTTTCAATTCCAAGTTTGGTTGAAATGACTCAAAATGTGGGATGGAAATTCAACCAAATGAGATGTATCTGATTCAATGTCCTGCGCACGGGGCGCTCCGTGAATTGCTTGAGAGCAGCTGTTTAGCCTTAGCCATTTTGCTTCTGTTAATGGCAACGCAACCTTGGGACTGAGTGTTGCCATTGACAGAGAGAGCTGGCACCACCTAAGAACCCTGAGCCCCAGCAAGATAAAGGACCTCCCGCTGCTCACAGCTAGCTGCAAAATGTATTAAGCATCTCCTTCAGGACCACCTAGGGAGCTTTTTAAATTTTTCCATACTCAGACCTCAACTCCCATCTCAAGATATATTTTTTTTTAATGCCTGGGTGATTCCTGGCAGAAAAGAAGGCTATGTATATATGTCTTCACACAATACAAATATAGCCACAATAACATCTACATCTAGTGACTCATATCCTCAAAAAATCTTGACCAGGGGGCACCCGGGTGACTCAGTGGGTTGAGCCTCTGCCTTCAGCTCAGTTCATGCTCCCAGGGTCCTGGGATCGAGTCCTGCATCGAGTTCCCTGCTCTGCAGGGAACCCACTTCTTCCTCTTCTCTCTTCTCTCGCTATCTCTGTCACTATCTCTCTAACTCATCAGATGAAATTAAAAAAAAAAAAAAACTTTAAAAATATGACATAAACTAAAAAAAAAAAAGACTAGAAAAACAAGCAGTATGCAGAAAGTAGTAAAACTATGGTAAAATATTTAACTGGCAATCTATCTTTTAGATGTGGAAAGCTTGAAATTCTGACCATGCAAACACAAACGGAATCAACTCTCTGCTACTAGAGAAAGAACCTCTATATCGTAGTCCAGGATGCTGGCTTTGTGTTTCAAACACAGATTCTACGAAATATGATGACACACTCTGGGGTCAAGGGTAAGGATACTACAGTGTACTTTATATGAGTCCTTCAAGAAACAGCTGAAATTAAACCCCTAGGCCTACCTCGGACAGATGCCCACATGACCAGCCTAGGAAAGCAAACAAAACCAATTTGTGACTGATTCATACAGTTGCTATTTTTCTTATTGATTTTGAGAGATGTCAAGAGAACATTGTGTGCATGAACAAATGAGGTGGAGAACTTAAAATGTTGACCCGGGCCAGATGCCCTGCTATTCAAGGAGAAAGAGGTTTAACTCATGAGCTGTCTCGCATCTATGGAGATACACTTACTAGAGAGTTAATACCCCATTCTCTATTTCTCTCAGTGAGGAAGCTAGGAGGAAAGGTGAGATTTAGGTGTGTTTGAGAGGAGAAAGGGAAACCCACAAGCTTCTCTGTATTTTGAGCTGTGTTGTGACTGCGAGGCGATTCTAGCTAGAAGTGATTTCCACAATTTGCAGCCTCTCTGTAGAGGCCGCTTTTAGGCAATCAATTTGAGCAATGGAAGCCTGAGAAAGGTAAAGGAGCCCACAGGACCCCCTGCTCCTTGGCTGAATACAAGCAACCCCATTAGGCGACCCCCTTCAAAATATCCACAAGCCCTAGCTGACACATGGCCTGCTTACGCCCAGTCTCAGGTACCACAACAGGAAAATTCCATATGTTCCATACCCCCTCACCTGCCCCTTAACTAGAGCCCCCCATCACTGCCTCGGGGAGGACAGTCTCTCTCTTGCTGTCCTTCCCACCACTCCCTTGCGGTGTATTCAGTAAACGTCTATCTCCGTCACTCTGCCTTGTGTGAAGTTGCCCACATTCGGCGGCCCCCCATCATATCGGGAGACCCACCCCCACATTCTCCACTAGAACCGATTTATTTCTGATAAGCCTGAAATCCTAGAAGTGAATTTCACTAACAACAAAGTTGTGGGTCTAACCACGTGAAAATGTCATGCCTGGTAAAAAGCTAAATCGTGCTCCTTGCTTTAACCCACTTACTGTAGAGGGGTTCAGAGATTTGTCTACGTAGAGCCGTTTGATTAGTTTCAGAGAGTAAAAGGAACTAAGTTTGTTCACATCCGATGTTACTGTTTGAAATCCAAAGGGTACATCTTTGATATTTTCAAAATGAAGGACCTGTGAAGAGAAAAAAATCCATTACCCATGAAATATTGCCTCTTCCTACCGCAGTGGATACAGGACAATGATCCACCACCTGGGGGGCGGGGGGTGTCAGTATCTCCCTGCTCATTTGCCCCCATAAAGGAAAGCTTTTCAACCGAGTATTATTGACATTTGGGGCTGGATGATTCTTGTTGGGGTGCTGTCCCGGGTACTGTAGAATGATAAGCAGCATCCCTGGCTGACTTGGTGACCCCAGCACTCCTTCCTCCATTTGTGACAACCAAAAATGTCTCCTGGCATCACCAAATATCCCTGGGATGGGAGGGGGCGTGGAACTGTCCCAAGCTAAGAAACACTGCCATTAAAGTCTTCTCTTTATTCAACTTTGGGGAAATTTTGCCCATTCTTCAAAAGGATGTCTCTAATGCTCATACAGAAGGCTTTCTGAACTCGGGAACGAGTAAAGCTGCGTTATAATGCCTGTCCAACTGAGACACAAGAAGAGAGAGAGGAGTACCAAGAGAGACAATCATTAGACAGGTATCAGATTTGGGGATAGATGTGTCTCCAGCCAGGGTCTTTCTAGCCCCTTCAGTTGCTCTAACCAAATGTGCTGAGGCATCGCTGATAAAAGGCAGCCACCATCCACGGTCGCCTGCCCTCAGTGGGCTACAGTCACACAGCCCTGCCTTGGATCCCAGCCTGTACCCACTAGAAATGCCGTCTTGCCGAGCTCTTCCGAGCTTCACGTTCCCCTCTGTAAAAGGGACTGAGAACACCTACTTTTCTGACTTGGTATAACTATTATGGACCTTGCATGTAAAACACGTAAAACATCGTATGGTTTCAAAAATGGTAATAATTATTCTTATACTAATATTCAAAGTCACTTAAAACTAGGATGTTATCTTCTGGAAGGCTTGATTCCTTCCATTTTGTTCCTAACTCTTCTTTTGTTCCAACCAATAGCCCAGCAGCTCCTCTGCTTCTTGGTGCCCCAAAACATGATGTCAGCATAAGGCGATCCTCTCCTCACTCTTAAGTTAGAGCAACTGCCCTGATTGCCACACTTCAGGTAATGTCACGAAATAGGCACAATGTCTGATGACCCAAAAACCTTGGTACAGCAGGGTCACATTGGCTGGTCCAAGGCAGTGCATTGCTCTCATGCCTAATGGCAGGTAAAAAGACCAGAAAATTAAAGAACCCAGGTAACTGCTTACCAGGAAAACAATTGTAGGTACTGAAAAGAGCTTTATTATTAATATTGAGAACAGACCCACTACCAGGAAGTTATCTTTACTCTCCCTTCTCTAATGGGAAATGAGAAGGAAGAAGGAGAATTGGGTGGGGATTAAGGGGTGGGGGAGTCAGGAGTGAAAGATGGGTGAGAAGAAACCGGTGTTCTATCCACAACTGAAGTTTCTTTTTCAAGCCCTGGTCAGTTTTGAGTGTAAATTCTTCATTCTGACCCAAATAATATTTTGTGGGTGTACTTCCTAGGGATTTATGGATATAAGAAGATGTTCCTTTTTTTAGTGCTTGTGAGTTGATGGAAAAAAAGATTCTGTTGAATCTAAAATGATCAACATAAAAATCATATTGGAATGGAAGTAGAAGCACATCTACTTACTAAGAGGGGGAGATGGGTAAAGGGGAAAAAATTTCCAGGCATAAAATAAACAATTCATGCAAATTTAATGTACAGCAGGGTGACAGTGACTAATAATACTGTATTGTACATGTGAAAGTTGCTAAGACAGTGGGTCTCCAAAGTTCTCACACAAGAAAAAAAAAATGTGTAACAATGTAAGGTGACAGATGTTAACTCGATTTACTGTGGTGATTATTTCACAATATACGCAGATATCAAATCATTAACTTGTACACCTAAAACTAATGTGTTATATGTCAACTATATCACAATTAAAAATAATGATAAACTGAAATAAAGGTAAATGAGTACTTAAAATGTAACAATCTGGAAGATCACCTCATTTGAAGGTCTAAGAATTTTACAAAGCTAGACAGTCAACCATAGCCAAAAAAAAAAATCTCTAAAAAAATACACACACACACACACACACACACAATTCGCATCTGCATACAACTATATACATATATGGGGGAGGGGGTGACATCATTTTAGTCCATTCTTCTCGAATGGGATATTCTGAAACATAAGAAAGAACAATCCGTCTTCTTATTCATCCCTGTTGCTTGAAGGTAGAAAATTTTAAATGTTATTTCTGTACCAACATAAGTGCAGATGTATTTATCTAACAGGGATATATTACTGTATTATAGAGTACATGTGGATATATTACTATATTATAGGGGACAATATATTATCGAGTAGAATGCAGTTGAACCTGCATCTTAAAGCACGATGCTGTCAATAAATTTTGTGCATAAAACAGGGGGTATGTGCAGGAGCACATTGAACAAACACCATCGTGATTGATCCTTATAATGTAACAGGTAGACTTGCCGAAGGCCACCCATTAGTATAAAGATCGTGATTGCCTAGCAGGTCCCTTGTTCTCCATCACAGCACAGTACTTGTAAATGTGGGCTGCAAGACAGATTAATGAACTTTCACATATAAAGACTGATTAAGAGGGTGCTAGAAAAGGCACAACTCTCAATCCCAAGCAATTTTCTCCAAGGGCCCCCATTCGTTTCTCCCAAGGCACGGCCTATGTGTTCTAATAAGCCTGTTGGCACTCAAAGCAGAAACAAGGTATGGAGCTTACCTGTCCAATTTCATCTGCCGTGTCCCCTTTGGCGCCTACTTGAGCAAGGGACAGAGAGGTGGAGAGACAGATTGGAGAGAAGAGGACATTGCCTGCTGGCTCCTTTTCACACAGTTGTTTGAACAGGTCAACCGCAAAGGCTGAATTTGCCAGTCGGAGAGCATCCATTGTGGGCCTGGAGCAAAGGACAAGGATGAGGTGATTTCAGTTGACAGTTGACAAGACTGATCAAAATCAGTTGGTTTTAGTGACCAATTTTGTTTCAGTTAAGACTTAGGTTAAACCATATAGAATTAACATTTTTGAAGATGAAAAACAGTCAAATCACAGCAGTTCTGCAAGGTTCAATTTAACATTTAGTAAATGTTATGGGTTAAATCGTGTCCCCGCAAAAAGATAGGTTGAAGTCCCATTCCTGGGTACCTGAGATCTTATTTGGAAATATGATCTTTGCAGATTCAATCAAGTTAGGGTCATTAGGATGGCCCTAATCCAATATGAATGAGGTCCTTGTAAGAACAGGAGAAAAGACACAGAGACAGACATGTGCAAAGGGAAGATGGTGTGAGGACACCCTGGGAGCAGGCCACAGACAGCGAGGAGGAGAGCAAAGTGATGCTTCTAGGAACACCAGAAGGATCACGGGAAACATCAAAAGCCAAGAGAAAAGCATGGGACAGATTCTCCCCTATAGCCTGCAGGGAGAGCAGAGTCCTGCCAACACTTTGATTTCGGACTTCTGGTCTCCAGAATTGTGGGAGAATACATTTCTATTGTCTTAAGCCATGCAATTCTGTGGTTCTTTGTTACAGCAGCCCTAGGAGACTAATAGAGCCAGTAATGCCTTAGGAGGGCAGCTAGCACATAGCAATATTGAACAAACACAGCGGTTACTGTTTTTGTCATGAGTATATACCTACGGTGTGGAAGAACCCACACGCAGTATTAGATGTACCAACTGAGTCCCTCCTTCTCTGAGTCTGCAACTCCGTTGGGCAGATATGGAGACAAAGAAGTAAATGTGGGGCTTCCCCACATCCCCACATTCCCCACACTGTGACATGTGAGCAGTGCAACAAGTCAGAGGAGTTAAAGAAAAGAGAGAAGGTGGGTTCAGCTAAAAATATAGCGCCTGGGGAACTAGAGAGAACAATGAGTAGGCACCTAGTCTTGTCTGAGGACTCTCATCCTGATGCATGTTCTCTAAGTGGTGTCCAGAGACCCCTGGCAGCCCCTAAGACCCCTTCAGTGGGTCCATTTTCAGGGGCACCTGGCTGGCTCAGTCAGCAGAGCATGCGACTCTTGATCCCTGGGTCACGAGTTCGAGCCCCTTGTTGGGCATAGAGATTAAATAATTATTTTGATTTCATAATAACTTTTAGGCATCATCTTTTTCATTTTCAATCTCTCACAAATATGCAGCAGAGTTTTCCAGAGGCTGTTTGATGTGTCTTCTCTTACAAATACAAATATTACAAAGATTTAAAGAAAAGAAATAACAATGTTACTCATCTTCCTGCAATTTTTTTCCTTTAGAAAACAGTTGTTTTTTCATAAAAATATGTTATTCATGTTAATACATCATGGCTATATTATAGTCATTTTAATAAATTAGTAAATACTTCAAAATTTCTCCAGTTTTAATTTCTAATTCGGGAAGTATGGATAGACATATCTGACATCAGAAAAAAGAAAGGAAAAGAAAAGAAAAACAGCTCTTTGGGATCCTCAGTAATTTCTTTTTTAAGATTTTATTTATTTATTTGACAGAGAGAGAGAGAAAACACAAGTAGGCAGAGTGGCAGGCAGAGGGAGAGGGAGAAGCAGGCTCTCCACTGAGCAGGGAGCCCAACATGGGGCTCGATCCAAGGACTCTGGGATCATGACCTGAACCAAAGGCAGACGCTTAACCAGCTGAGCCACCCAGGTGCCCTGGATCCTCAGTAATTTTTAAGAGTGTAAAAGGGTCTTGAAATTTAAAAGTTTGAGAAACGTTCTATTGAAAGGTCCACCCATCTGTCCAATCCAGTAGTTAACGATCAAGCCGAAAGGCACCTGGATAACTCAAGTGGTTGGACCATAACCCTTCCTAGAACGGAGCAGAGCGTCATGGACTCCGCAGGCTCAGCCTGAGCCCAGGATAGAGTGTGTCTATGGGCCACAGAACGATATTACTACCCCTGACTGGCTGGTGCACAGGCCAAGATTTGAAGTGTTCCCTCAAAGCCGTCAGGTACTGTGTAGTCACACACAGAGACAAGAAGAGTGAACATGACATTGAAGGACCTCTAGGAGGACATGTTCTCCAGCATCAGACAAAATATCAACACTCAGGACAGAGGGCTTCCTTCCAAAAGGACCCAAAGAGCTATTAGAGAGTCAATACATGAATAGGATCTCAACTGTGTACCTTATGCTTGCACAGAAATTAAAAATTCAAAGATGTGATAAGAAGATCAAGGAATGAGCCCCTGGTCTACAAATATGTTTTCAGAATCCTGCCTTTTGTGGGACATGTGGCTTTTGTGTAGGATGGATTCAAAAAGATTATAATATATATCTCAGAGTCTGTAAAAGCAAATTCATTAGCAAAAAAAAAGTTTTGTTGACCTGTTCATGCTCGCTGGTCATCTTCTTCCTTCATTTTATGTCCCTGATAAGAACAGCTAAGTGAGCTTATGTCAGTGTTCTCACTGAAAACCTACTACAAGGTAACCTTCAATCTTATATTTCTTTGGGGCCCACGACCTTCCCCTCTCTCCTCAGGAGTGGGTCTGAGCGGGTTGACAGCCCACTCCCAGGCAAAGCAGCCCAGAGTCAGGTGTGAGGGCAATGAGACACAAACAGACACATATGGGGTGTTTTGATGAGTAGGACCACTGCAGGACCACTGCATGAGTAGAAGAAACCTCACAAAAGGTTAGAGGGATCCACATGGAGTCCTCTGGCTTTCTCCAGCAGCAAATTTAACATTGGTGCTGACTTCATCTACAGCTAACATTCAACCTGAGTTACTTTTCCATCAAAGAGAGAAGCCTAGGGGCACCTGGGTGGCTCAGTGGGTTAAAGCCTCTGCCTTCAGCTCAGGTCATGATCTCGGGGTCCTGGGATCGAGCCCCACATCGGGCTCTCTGCTCAGCAGGGAGCCTGCTTCCTCCTCTCTCTCTGCCTGCCTCTCTGCCTACTTGTGATCTCTGTCAAATAAATAAAAATAAAATCTTAAAAAAAAAAAAAAAAAAGAGAGCGAGAAGCCTAAATGAGCTATCTCTTCATCAAAGAGAAAAGCCTCAACCCAGGTCCCTGGAAACTTCTCAGAGCTTTTACAACTTGAGGCCTAATCACTTTATTATCAATATGAAAATATACCAGCTCCACTTGAACAAACATCAGTAGTCCTTCCCAGCATGTATTTCCTACCATCGCAGAAGAAATATTTGAATAATTTTGCATAATCAATAACAAACTTTACTTTTCAAGTTGGTTTTCCTTCTTGTGTATCAGTCCTTGGAGTAATCTGCTAAGAGAATTTTGACTCAAACCCCTGGACGTGGATTGAAGGGTAGGGAAATGTTCCTTTTGTTCAAGTGAAGCACTCTTTCTTCATGCTTTATAGCATTTGAAGATAAATTTAGTCTAAACGGTTCTATGCGAGTAGATCAGTAGATCAGTAAACCACTGAGATCGCAGTGGTTTTTAGCACAGTTGATTACACAATATAATTAACACTGTGTTGCAATTCAAACCTCAGAGTCAGGCCTCTGTTGGAAAATATGAATCAGTCCACATCTATCAGCTGAGGCTTTCCCAACAGGGGGACCCTCCCTTTCAGGAGTCTATTCCTCTGCCGCAAGAGTCCTCAGTGCATGAAGTGTGCCTTCTTATCCGTGTGCTGACAAGCTCCTTTCCCAGAAAAGTCTCCTTCGAGTTGGGGAGGGTCATGCAGCCCTTTAATATCTGAGGTCCCAGAGATAATGACATTGTTTGATGCTTGACAAGGGAAGCAGAAAATGACTGCACGTGCAAATTGCTGTAGCTGCAAGCAGTCACCAAGCAAGTCATCAATCAGACATTGCCTGGCAAATCTGAACCCCGGCTTGGTGATGAGTACCAACTGACCTAAAACACTTAAGGCTGATCTGGTCTAAGGTAGTTCCAACGGATGACTTTGGCCACAGTCCATTACCACCTCCCTGTGCTGCAAGATTAAGCATGCAAACAAATCTCAGCAACGTTAGCAACACGAGCCCGGGGAAACCCATCAGGTCCTACACAGACCATTTCGGCTAAAGAATGCTATGAAAATTACGCATGCAAGAGTAGAAATTAGAAAAGAGCACAGATTAACAAATCCTACATAATAAATGTACATGTCTAATGACCTATGTGCACAGCGCTAAATCGCTACAACTTTTTTGGTTTTACTTTTCACTTTGTTACTAGAGAACTTCTTTCATTTTCATGAAAACCTTCTGACAATTGTAACAAATAAGGAGAATTTCCTAACAGCTCTAACAGAGAAAACACTACATCTCTTTGTAGCTTAAATGTTTAAGAGGCACTTTTATGTTAACCAGAGAAAAGTGAGATAGAAATTTAAGTAAGAAATGCAAATGCAACAAACAGAAAGTTGTCAGAATTTATTGCAAAGTGGCCTGTTGTTTGCGTTGAATCCTAAAATCATAGATCTTTCGAGTAGGACAAGATCTTGGAATGGATCTAGTCTGGCTCCTCTCCCTCACGTTACAGATGAAGAAAGTAAGACGGGCGGAGATGAAGTGATTGTCCCAGGCCACCCACATGGGGAGTGAGAGTGGCAAAACCAGACCTTCCTTTCCACCTGCTGCCAGGCGCGTACTCCCCACCACACCTCATCACCTTCCCTCTCGGTAATTGTGTCTTCACTGGCATGCGTTCTCTCGGAAGTCTTCAGAGTTCCAAAAATCTTACATGTCCTCAATTACCCCTTCAGAGACACTGAGAGACTTTGCACAGGTTTTTTTGTTGTTGTTTTTTTTAATCCACACAAAATTTTTCTTCCCATTTTCCAAGAAACTCTTGTTCTCTTCCTGCTCTTTACATCGCAACCTACAAGTCCAATATCGCTTTCATTTAATAAGTGTTACCGGGGGACCTCCTGTGTGTCAGGCGCTGAGCTAGACGTTGGGAAGTCACTAGTGAACATACACGGTTCCTGCCTCTGTGGAGCCGTCGTGTGGCACGACGCGTGTGGTGGGGTGACCAGCATTTGGATGGGAGCCCAGTTACTGTGGGAGCCCTCAGGGGAGAGAGCCCGCTTACAGTAAAATCTTAGTGAGGTCACTTCAGAGACAGCTCCGTCCAAGTAAGTCACACGAAAGCAAGTCCTGAGGAAGAAGTAGGAGTTGGCCAAGCAAAAACGTGTGCCAGAGAGAACGGACCCAATTCAGAGACTGCAGGGTATCCCAAATGAGTAGAGACACACACACACTGGGAGGTGAGCAGGTCCGTGTGCTCGCTTCTCTAGACCTACTACCAGTCACTGGCCCCCACATAAAGATTCCTACAGTTTTTAATGCATCTAAGTCAATGGTCCTCGAGCTTTTCATCTGTAGATGAAAAATGAAATGTAGACTATTTGGATGAGATAAAGACCATGTGGGTAGGTTGACCATATGTCCCGCTTTGCCTGGGACAGTCCTGGCTTATCTGTGTTGTCCTGACATTAGCAAGAGTGCCCCTTTCACTCTCAAACATGTTGTATTTGAACAAGATAAGTTCACTCTATGTATAGATCCATTCTTCTACACCCATCTGTGCGCACACACACAAACTATGTGCATGTTTTGTTCATTCCTTAAAAACTATTTTTCACTGTGTCACGTTATTGTGGATATCACTTAGCCTAGCCAGCCTCAGTTTACAGATGAAGAAAAATGTGGTAAAAAAAAAAATCGGTATTTGGTCTAGGCCGTCCCTAGGCAATGTCTTGAGGAAGTTTGCCTTGTTGTAATAACAACCCTGGGATGCCTGAAAACACAGTCTCTGCCGTCTGCACTCACGAGAAGAAAAAGTCAGAGCCAGATGAAGAAAATCGGAGATCCTGCAGCTTCTGCGGTGCGGAGGAAACGTGTGAAGATTAAGGGAAGTTATGAAATGAGTAGATGTGTGTGAAAAGTGCTTGGTTAGCAGGACAGAACAGCGCAGCTATTAGTAATAAGGTCAATTGCTTAATCGCCAAAGGTGGGGGAGCCTGTCTATGCTCAGATACTCCGCGTAGAGCCTGATCTTGACCACTGAGCTGCCCGACAGCAAACTAGAACCGGGCTTGCTGCACCAGAATGACCGAAATTGCTCAGACTGCATAACTTCAAAGTCCAGCAGAGGGACTGAAGAAGCAGAATTCATGGCGTTAGGAAGCAAAGAAATAAACCCACTGAGTCATACGGAGAATGCTTGCTTCAGGCAGGCATCCATCTCTCCACCCATCAGGGAACGCATCAAACACTTGCACAGACTGGTGGGGCCTGAGGTTTGAGACCCGCCTGATTCTGTTCAAAACCTCTTTGGTGACGCAGGGGTGAGCAGGTCGGTCAGAGTACTTGGGGCATCATGGCCACAAGCTGTGAGTTGGAAGGCCGGGATTCTCCTTCATCTCCGCACGTATAAGCTGTGTGAACAGGGACCCACGTCCCCTCTGTGACCCTCCACTCCTCATCCACACTGCGAAGGGCCGAGCCGGGATGGAGGTAACCCCTCAGCTCTGCGAGCCCGTCCCTCCTCTGAGTACAAGCCAACAGAACAGCCTGGCCTGTGAAATTGATCTGTATTAGGATACTCTCCAGTGACGTCATAAAAACCGCAGTGTCTGTGAGGAAGAGACTATGACCCGGCCTATTTGAAATGTTGCCCAAGAGCACACATGGGAAATATGTAACTTGTTTCAAGTGTCCCGAAACCCAGAAATAGGGAGAGAGAATGCTCCCTGCCTGGAAGGACGTGTGGTTAGTAAGCGAACGCCGGCTGGGGGCTTAACAGTGCCGAAAAGAAGAGCGGTTTCAAAATCAGACTCTCACCCGGCCGGGAGGGTGAGCCGGAAGCTCAAACACCTTCCAAGTCCTTCCAGGTTCTCAGCACCACGCCCTTTCTGAAAACCAGCATTGCAAAATTCATTTCGAATTCCCAGATAGGACTGAAAAGGTCCTCGGAAAGAGGGTCCCCTCCAGAAATCACGGTCGCACAGCCCCCCCGACCACCACCCAGACCTCCAAGCCCTGTTGTCTCTTCCTACTCGCTCCTCGTCCCACTAAGTGATTTCGCTCCCTACACGGCATTCCTGGTTCCCAAAGGCCCGAGAACTCAAAGCGCTGCTCATGTCAGGGTGGGCGGGCAGTGGCGCGACAGCTCACAGCGTGTGCCTGACCATAACCCTTATGTCAACTTCCTTCACCACCTCGCAGCAGCTCAAATCATGATTCGGTTGTAAGAATCTTCCTGAAAAGGGGAATCACCAGCCCTGCCACCGCGCTTTGCTTACCTGGAGTCACAGCTATCCTGGAAAATGCCCGGCAAGGGAAAAGGAAAGTGAGGGCCGTGGAAGGACCTTGCAGGAGCAACCCTCTGTGGGGCAGAGGCGAGGCTCGCTCACCTGAACCCGCACCACGCCCTCGTGACCACTCCCAGCCTGGCTCCCGCCGCCCTCCCACTCCTACACTCCCGGCTCTTACTCAGGCCTCTTGGCAGCTGGTCCCTGAGTGAAAAAAAAAATGATTCAGGCTGAAGTTTCTGTTGCCTGCACAGCTTCCAAAGGCCTCCGACGTGCTCGGGCAGGAAGGGCTGTCGGTGGCTCCTGCCTTGGGCTAAATGCATACATCCGCAGGTACACAAGGGCAACCCTGGGAGGCCACGTGGGACCAGAAGATGAAATGCATGAAACAGAAGGCATATGTGACGGTCGTAATGATTCACACTTCTCAGAGAGGGTGGTGCCCCAAAAAGCTCTCCAACCTCCACCTTTCCATGTCAACTGGGCTAGCTTATCCTTCCAGAACGCCAAAGAGGTACTACCTATTAAACAGAGCGGCGATCACAAAAGAAGAGGGTCTATAAATTAAATAAATTCTGCTTAGCAAAATATGTAATACCAAGTTGATAGGACAAAGTGCTGCGTGAAGTTCCCAGTGATGAGGAGGACACAGCTCTGTCTTCGCGGAGCCTGCATTTCCTGCCCCCCCACACCCCACTGCTCCTTCATTGGGGGGGACCCTAATCTGTTCTCAGGAAAGCACCTCCAACTAAGCCAGCTGCTTCCCTGCTGTGCTCACCTAAGATTCCCTATTATTCGTTTACCACACTTTCCCGATCAGCTGTTTATTGCACGGCCTTCTCTATCCGACTTCAAGAATCTTCACAATAAAGACCAAGCCTCGTTCAGTTTTGTGGCACCAACCCTTGGTGTGGACTCGATAGACAGTATGCAGTCAATAAATGCTGGCTGTCGAAATGAATGAGAGCACCTCGTTTTGCCAGACAAAGACGCACGGATAGCTTCCCTTCCCCGGATGCCTGGTTATTATTAACCAGGATCAAAGCCATAAACTAAACGAGTCGAACTCTGAGAGTAGACTCGCAGGCATCCGTGGGGCAAGTGGAGGTAAGAAGGTCATCGGAGGTTGACGTGGGCAGGACGCCTCTGGAAAGTTACACTCTCCAGCCCTAGTGGGGAAATGTGGGTTTGGGGGCAGAGTCGTACATTGGGAGATGCACCGTACCTCTCCTTGCTCGAGCTGTCCTGGACAAAGCGCTTAACCGCTCCGGCCTCAGTGTCCTCATCTGTAAAATGAAATACATAAAATGTATTTCATCTGTAAAATGAAATACACATACACATGGAGACACAACACACAGGGACCGTCTGGCCACAGTGTGTCCTCCCGGATGACGGTGGTTATTGTTTGGCTGCTTTGCCTTCCCCTCAGGCGGCGCAGGCTCAGGGAATAATCATAATGGCCCAAAGGCTGGTGCAGAAGCTTCACACCGAATTCACCGCAATAATTTATTGAACAGCTGTTGCCTGTTTGCCACTGTGACCCAGAGATTTTGAAGAGACCCGCGCTTAAATCAGAGAGCTTTGGACCTTCTCCCTTTTGATGTTTGAATTCCCTCTGCAACCCTCCTGCTCAGTGCTTGTCAAACCTGGACGGAAATGCCTCTGGCGACAGGAATTCGACAATGCCCAAGGAAGCCCAAACACAATTCTGACTGTTGGAAATAAATATTTCATTCAAAATACTTAGTGAGGGGCGCCTGGGTGGCTCAGTTGTTAATCATCTGCCTTCAGCTCAGGTCATGATCCCAGGGTCCTGGAATCGAGCCCCACATCAGGCTCCATGCTCAGCAGGAATCCTGCTTCTCCCTCCCCCACTCCCCCTGCTTGTGTTCCCTCTTGTTGTGTCTTTCTCTGTCAAATAAATAAATAAGATCTTTAAAAAAAAACAAAACAAAACCTTAGTGAAAGCCATACGCCCATTTGTAGGAAGTGTACCATTTGCTGTATGATTCCCCAATGACCTCTCATTTTCTTCTCTTTCATTTGCTTCAAAAACCATGTGTTGGACTATGTATTAAAATGTAGATTTTTTTTTTTAATTTTGAGAGAAGAAATATAGCTTAAAAATGAATTATCCATTCGGTCATCAAACAATTTTATCAGACCTAATTTTCTCTAGTTCAACAAAAAAAACAGTCATCGGCCCAAATATTTAATAACCCAGGAGACTGTTTCGTGGGTGCTTTTTCTTAGCTGTAGTCTGAAACACTGCAAACATCGTAAGTTGATTACTCAGCATTTTGGCTGACAGATGGCTTGCCACACCTGGGCACTCCCAGGAACCATTCAAAGGAGCTTTGTTATAGCCTGCTTAGAATTATCTCTCTCTCTCTCTCTCTCAATCTCTTTGTCTCTCTCTCTCTCTCTCTGTCTTCCCTTCCAAGAAGATAAATTTCAGCCAAATATTCCTGAGTACTCTCCCCAGATATCTACAAATCATTAAGAGTTTTTTTCACCGCTGATAGGTATGATTCCCACCCATGCATATGACAGTTCTCCCGCACAACAGAGGAATAACGAGAACCATGCACATTCCCAACTATTCATAGACATCACACGATAAAGCCCCCACCCAGTCCCTGAGAACAGTAACCTCCTTTTCACATGTGGAGAAACTGAAATAGAAAAGTTAAGGCAACTTTACCTTAGAGTTTCTGATTGAGACAGAAAAAAAAAAAAAAAAAGTGTTCAAGATCCCAGATTTATAATCCTTTACCCAAACTACGTCCCTTTCAAGAATCCAACAGCTTGGGGTGCCTGGGTGGCTCAGTGGGTTAGGCCGCTGCCTTCGGCTCAGGTCATGATCTCGGGGTCCTGGGATCGAGTCCCGCATCGGGCTCCCTGCTCGGCGGGGAGCATGCTTCCCGCCCCCCTCTCTCTGCCTGCCTCTCTGCCTACTTATGATCTCTCTCTGTCAAATAAATAAATAAATCTTTAAAAAAAAAAAAAAAAGAATCCAACAGCTTAATACACTTTCAAGCTTTGTGACTTATCAACATCTAGTGTTTGAGAAGCCTAAAATTCTGTCTGGAAGAAATTTTACATTAAATGATAACCTGTAATGGAAAATGACTCACATGAAATTTCTACTAAGATGCAAACTTACAGGGAAAAAAATAAAGACTAACACTGAAAAAAACAAATAAAGGGTAAAGCAAGACTCCAGAATTAAACCACAAGCAGATAGTATGATTGATTCAATTTTTCATACTGAGTGTCAGGGGATATCCAAGCAGAAAATTCAATATCAAATCACTTATATTCGGTTGATGGATGAAGAGGAAAAGAAGGTGACAGTGTGGGAAAGAGGATTCAATTCATCTTGGCATCAATTCTGAACCCCACTCAATGGCTCAGTTAAGTATTAATCATCAGCAAGAAACTTAGCCTCTCTGGGCCTCAGGCTTCTGCAACATAAAGAGGAGAGAGGGGTTGGACCCGTGGTTCTAATGTTTTCTGTAGACAGAAAGGTCAGAGAGTGAAACTTGCCTTTACCTAATCAAAAAGAGCTCAATGAGTCTAGAAAATGAATAGTATGGAATGCCTTGAACATGATATAAAAATAAAATGAAAATTCAATATATTAGTTCATTAACAATTGGGTTTTAATTCATTACGTAATCAAGTTACATGAACTGGTAACTTATTCAGCTTTTCAAATATATGTATATATAAGCTATTTTAAAATTTTCCTTTTATATGTAATTCTTACAAGACAAAAGGAATGAATACATGAATCAAAATACAATCTTTCCAAAATGTCCGGTAGAAGTAAGAATTTCAATACAGCTGGTAGAAATGTAACTTAGTCAACTCTTCTGGGAAATAACACTATCAATTTGGCAATATGTGACCTTTTTAATATTCATCTCCTTTGACCCAGTAACACAGCTTTTAGAAATCTTTCTTAAGGTAATAATTACAGATAAAGTCAATGATTCATGTACAGAAATATCCACAGTAATATTACTTATAACAGAAAAGCTAGAACCAGCTGACTATCCATCATAAGGAAAATAACTAAATATATGTTTTTGAAGAGTAGTGCCCACAAGATTAAGTTGCATAACAGTAGGCTAAAACAGTAGGCTAAAAACATATGTATTTAGAGTTCTGGTTCTTGCTGTAATGCACTTGAGGTTGACAAATGACCTGTGTGTGTGTGTATACTCAGGAGACTTACAGACAGTGCATCAAATAATTTAACAGTAATCATTCCAGCTGATGAAACTGAAAGTGATTTTTAGTTTATTTTTATACTTCCCTGTATCTGCCAAATTTTCTATTATGTCTTACGATTGAAAGTTAGGTTTCTTGACAAGCTACTTTCAAAAAAAGCTACCTGCCACAACTGGGCGTTTGCATAATAAATCTCTAGCTGGAGTTAATGATTACCTGCACCATGCAATAAAGGCTACGCAACTCAAAGCAAAATGGCGTTTTTTAAGAAGCAGAAATTCCAGAGTTCCCTTGATGAGGTTCAGGACCGCTCAAAAGCCCAGCAGAAGCTGGTGTCATGCCTCACCCCAGCAACCAGGCCCAACCCCTCCCTGGATGAGCCAGGCCAAGGAGGACGGAGCCCAACACCCTGGGGCCCAGGAGTTCCTCCAGGAGGATCCCCACCCCAGAAGGGGAGCACAGGTGGGAACAGGTCTGACCCTCTTTTTTCCTCCTCTCACCTCCTCCCCCGCAGCATTAGCTGCCATGCTGACTCAGTTGCAGGCCTTGCTCTTTGCCTTTGCTACATAATGCCACGAAAGCATGTCAAGGAGAAGCCGACACACAGCTCTAAAAGAAACTTGGCCATCACCAATCCAAATCCCTTGTTTCCGAACGGTGAAACTTAAGCCTACACTGTCTTGTGTGCTCATTTTTAAAAGTGATGTAAGATCTTTCACTACATGCCTTGTAATAACCTATTTTATATAAGTTCTACTTTTATTCCATTTTATAAATTAAAAAAATGAACAAACAACAACAACAACAATAACAACAACAAAAGAGGGCCAGGCTTATTGAATAACTTCCC